GATATCTCTGTATTTGTGGATACGTTAAGATTAAAAAATGATTTTCCTGGAAAAAAACTTGCCTCCATTTTTTCAGAGCAAGAAAAAGTGAACTATAAAATTGCAGGATCATCCTACTAGGAGGGTCTAACAGTTCATACAATGAGATGGACCTTTGAATTCTCCCCTGTTCTTCCCTCTAGGGTCCTGTGACCACACAAAAGAAGTACGAAGCTTCAGAGAGGGCTGGTCACCACAGGCATGTGTGGATGACTCAGGGGAAAGGGAAGGGCAGAGGAATCCTAGGAATGTCCTATCAACCAGAAGCAGTGGGGAGACCAAAGTGACACCAAAAGAAGGTGCAGATGGTGGGCCCAGAAAGGGAGAGAACCATCAATGCCTGCCCCTACCCTGCCAGAGAAGTCCCAGGACACTCTAGGAAGCCAAGCTGTCAGAAAAATTAATTTCTATAGTTTTGTTGTTAAGGTGTACATGAAAAGCTTACAAGGTGTGACCAATATAACACAAGACACAGCTCAACATTTTTTACTGTGTGTGCAAGCCTTAAAGTTAAGTGCAGTACATAGTAGGTTCTGATATGCATTCACTCCATACTCTCATGCCTAACTGTGTACTTAAAGCCCAAAAAATCTAGGTACTAAACTTTGCTCGTCAAATAAAACTTTTTCTTGGCATGTGGATGGGCATCATCAGCCCAGCATTTCTCTTACATTTTGTGAAACTTTAAGGATGCTGCACAGTTCTTTAAGCCCTTTCTAAATAACCTACCAGACTTCCATGGGAAAGCAGCAGCTAATCCAACAGTATAAAGAACTAAACCATATGCAACATGTGTGCCCCCCAAAAAATAAGAAAAAAAAAAAAAAACCTGAAGGGCTTTGCTCAGGCATAGATCAGAAGGAATAGGGATGTTTTAGGGGCTCATAGTTGCTTAAGTTTGGCAAGCATCAGCAAAGTTCTAAAAGACTTTTAAGATTGCAGGTCTCCCCATCTTTGTCTTCAAGATCATTAATTTTGGGTGAGAGCAAAATTTCCAGCCCAAGAATAGACACAAAGTGCCTCACCCAGAAACTAATTCTTCAGACACATACCTGCCTGCTGAAGTCACTCTTCTACAGAGATACAACACACCATATATGTACATAATTAAATGTATATGTAAGAAGATTCATGCCTAAATGGGAGGCTTTGTGGACCTTCTGCAAAACCAGTTCAAACACTGAGGCTTTAGAAGAATCTGAAAACTGAAAATCCTTCTGGTTGAATATTCTAAATGTGTAACTTCTTACACGTGAACTTAACCGAAGAGTTGTCCCATTAGAAATCCCTCTTAAGTTAGGAACACTGAGTATTTTTAGTATTAAAAAGTGTAACAAGTTTTGGTGTTTTCAGTGGCCTCCAAGAACACAAGTGTAGCCAACAGCATGAGTTCCCAGCACACAGAGCATTTCCTCACGCATCACTAAGCAGAATGACAGGCGCTTTAACCAACTAAGCCATGGAGCCACGTAGCAGAATGAGCTTTAGATGGGCGGAAGGCTCAGGAATGCGAGTCGTGTCTGGGCAGAACCTTCACACTGTGTCTCCACAGAAGTGTCTGTTTAATGCTTCCCAAATGTCTGCATTACAAATACCATGTCCCCAAACATGCCACCACCACCAGGCCCAGGAAGAGTATTTTGTTTGTTTCTTCTGCAGAATTGGACTATTAGAAATCATGAAGCCATCTTATGAAAACTTGTGGAGTTATGTGTTTTTATAAAAATTGAATTAGTGTTTTCCATTTCTGGGTGTTGTGTAAAGATCTGCAGTTGGTTATAAAGTCAGATAGGGAGAAACAGCATTGCCATTTGGGGGCTTTAAATAAATTGTCTTAAAATCATAATCTTGAGATATTCAAAAATATATAAGAATACTAATATTTTCATGACAGTGGAAATATGGTGAATCATAGAGCTTGAGGGAGTGAGGTTACACAGATGATTTTCAAAAATTCGCTTA